TGGGTCTTGGAATGAAAAATTCGATTTCATATAGTCAAAATGAATAGGCTGGAGCTTAGTCCCAACAAAAAGGCATAAAAAACATATCATAGTGCAATACCTGATCTGAATGCTGTCTTCTGCAACAATCATCGTCTTTTCACCAAAAATAGGGATGGTAACCCGACCTCAACATCAATCTTGTGAACGAGAATACCGTAGCCCGTGTATTGATCCATATAAAACGGCCCTCACTGGCAAATCCTTGAACAAGGGATACTGTTCTATGATCGTCAACTCATTCAGTGTCGAGTCAACGGCACAACCTTGAGCTACCATTCCTTTTCTTTACTAGTAATATGGCGAAACCCAACGGCGAAGCACGATCAAGGCCGGATAAACTTTTCTCTTACTAAACTCTTCAATCTGCTTTCTTCAACTCAACGCAGCTCAGTGAGCCATCCGAATATAGGGGCTAGGATACTGGTCCTGCTCCTAAAGACACAGATCAATAGAGAAATGAGGTTCTCCGGAGGAGGTAAACCAGGAACTTTCTCTCCAGGGAAAACATTCCATGAAATCTTTCACAAACAGGCAGAACAGCAGGTACTACAATCCGGTTCACAAGCGCTGAAGAATTTTAAAAGGAGTCCCGTCTTATGGAAATGAATTTAGGAAACAACGCAGAGGGGAAGCAGGAAGGGATGGGAAAACCCTCGAAGGATGTCATTCCCTCAATACACCGAGCGATAATGACATGGTCTTCATCTTCTTCGGGAAATATTAGCTTCTTACCCACCGCAATCTAAAAGAATACGTTGGCTGCTAACCATCCATTCCCAAAATTGACCTCTAAACTCCGTGCAGAGGTAAGCAAAAAATAAGGTTCACTTCTGAACCTGCGGCCCTCTCCCTCAAATAGGAACCTGAGCACACAATGAGATGTCATGAATAACCCGAGTACTGGTGTAGACACCACAGATCACACGGAAGCTCTCTGGACAACTAAAACCAAGCCTCTCCACACAAGCTTTAGAACAAAAAGAATGTGTCGCCGCAGAATCAAACACGTCAACAACGACGCTCCAAATAACAAACAACTGTGACATTAATTACCTGCGCTGGCTGCCCAGTTCCGGTCAACGCATAGACTTTCCGGCTGCCTGAGGTCTGTGCCCACCCCTCGGAATAGATCTGCCAGCCTTGGCTTGGCTGTTGGTCCTACCCTCCTAGTAGCATAGGACAGTCTCTGACATAGTGTCCTTCTGACGGCAGATATTACACTCCTATACCCTTCTAACTGAGGGCAGGAAATCTGGAAGTGTGGTCCACCACCACCTTGAAGATTCTAACGGAACTGGCAAAAAACTGGATTGCCCGATGGACGAGAGGAAGAACCCTGGATACGGGAGGAGAAGGAAAAAAAAAAAAAAAAAGAGGTCTAGAGGAAAGGGGTTCCTTCTAGAAATGGCATCCCCGGGATATCGAAGGTCCACCAACCCAAAGTGGTTGGCTCTGTTGTTTCTGAGGCCCTTCTGGTTCTCCCTTAGTCTTTTCCATATCACGGGCCATCTCTACCACAGTAGAGAATTCTCTAATGCGCAATCCCTTCACTAGTATCTTTATATCCTTTCTCAAGCCATTCTCAAACTTGCGACACTGCCATTCTTCATTATTGACATGCGGTAAGCGAAGCAGGTGTTTAAAACTATCGCATACTCAGATACTGATTGGTTGCCTGAGCCCACTCAAGAAACTCTATCTCCTTAGCAAACCTGACATGTCTGGGAAGTATTCAGTGATAGATTTAGTTCTGAACAACTCCAAGTGATAGCAGTTCCCTTCCTCTCCAAGATCGTATTCACACTGTTCCAACCAATGTACAGCTTCCACCCTTCACAAGTATTGCGGTGAGGCTACTTCTTATCATCAGACATCCCTTGGTTCGAATATCCTCCCATGTCCCCAAAACCAGTGATCAGTTCATTAGGTGCACTTCATCAGGGTTGCACTTGCCAGTAAATCTTGCTGGGCGATGTTGCAGAAAGCTCTCCAAGCTCCACTCTTGCGCAGGAATAACAACGGAAGAAACACTTGGAGGAGTCCTAGCATTAGTCATCATTTCCATGAACTCCCTCTGAGTGTTCTCGGAAGACACTCTTGCGTTCTCTGCCGATATCCTTGCGGCTTCAAGATTTTGTAATGCAAAGGTATTCTGTTGAACCAACGCAGCATTCTGCTGTTGCAACGTTTGGAGTACCGCATTCAGCATCTGATTAGAGTCAAGTTGATCGACTCGCTGATGAGTCAATATTTTATTCACTTCACTTAGTTTATTGTGCTAGAATTAATCAGGGAATTGTGCTTAATTATCCAGTATTTCCCCGTTTTTACTAATTGTGCTTAAATTGACCAATAATTCTTATTTTAATTAATTTGAATTATTTGAGACTAATTATTTGCATTATTAATTATGGGGAAATTGTTTGATAAAATTTAGGAACTAATTTGAAGCAATTCATTGGAAGCTCTTGAATTTTGATTTTGGAAAGAAAGAAAGGATAATGCCACGGCTTTCATCCAAAGTTTTTATCCAAGAATAAGGGTGCATTTCATTCCATATTCAATAATTGGAAGTTGCTTTAATTGATAAAAGAGAATGGGAAGAAAGTGCAGCAGGACAACACGTGAAAAAGCATAGAAAATTCAGCAAACAACAAAATGATGGAAGGCCCCTTTTGGCACATTTTGGAAAGAGAATTGCAAGGGCAAGAGAATGCAGCACGACACTTAGTTGAGGATATATTGATTGCTAAAATAAAAAAAGGAACACACGGCCCACACCAGCAGGAAGGAGAGATGCACGGTAATTTGGAATGAAGAAGTGGTGCTTAAATCAATGTGTGTTACGTCCAAGAGCACTTGGTGATAAGAAATTCAAAAGAGGACAAGACTTCATGTAAGGAAGTGGGTCAAGCACTATGTTTTCTTCTTTTTATTTTTATGCATGGTGACATGGGAATGGAGAGCAAGGACCCCCCTCACTCACGTGTGGCATGTTTCCTAGAGAAAATAAAAGGGGTGATGGATTGAAGAATTGAGAGGGGGGTGTGCCGTGAAAGAGTTCCAGACAGCAGGGGAGTGTGTGACGTTCCAGAGAGTAGATTTTAGAGGGGGGAATAAGCTGGACATTTTCCAGCAGAGGAGAGAATACAGCTGCTGGACAGCAAGCTCACGGACAGTAGAGGGCTGGAATAGCAGATGAAAATCACAGTACAGAGATGGCAGGCTACGGTTGAACAGTGTGCACATTAGGTTCCAATTTTCATTTTGGTTTAATAGCCAATTTAGTCCCCACTTTGGTTGAAAAATCTCAATTTAGTCCCTCGTTATAAAAGTGTTTTACATTAGTCCTAACTTTTAAAATAATGGGTCAGATTGGTCCCTTTCGTTAAATATAAGTTAACGAAATTAATGGATGATGATGTGACACAGCTTAAAGCTGATGTGTTAGATTGGTCCCTCGTTAGCTTTAAGTTGTGTCATATCATCATCCATTAATTTCGTTAACTTATATTTAACGAAAGGGACCAATCTGACCCACTATTTTAAAAGTTAGGACTAATTCAAAACACTTTTATAACGAGGGACTAAATTGAGATTTTTCAACCAAAGTGAGGACTAAATTGGCTATTAAACCTTTCATTTTCTTTGCTGTAATAAATTCTTGAGCAATTTAATTTCAATTTAAAGTTTGTTTTAATTTACTGTTTATGAAATTTAAATTATGTTTTACTGTTTCTGTTTTACTGCTGTAATTTAATTTTTGCTGTATTTTAATTTTTGTATTACATTTTTATGCAATTTAATTTCTGCTGCTGTTTATCTTTTGCATGTTGATTAATTCTGTTCTCTGTATTTTACTGCAGTAATTTTGAATTTGTTTTTACTGTTTTCTAAATTTTTTTTCTGTATTTACTGTTTTCTGTATTTTTGTTTTCTGTATTTTGCTGTTATTGTTTTACTGATTTTGAAATTCTGTATTCAATGCTTTTACTGTTACTGTTTACTGCTGTAATTTCATATTTTGTTTTTAATGTTTTACTGTTTTTACTGTTTTACTGTTTTTACCAATTTCTGTATTTACTATTTACTGTATTTTCGTTTTTTTGTATTTTGTTTTCTGTATTTCATTTTTTGTTCCAGATTTACTGTCTTTGCTGTAATTATGTGCTGGTATAATTTATTTTCTGTTTTTACTATTTTCTGTATTTACTGTTTTCTGTATTTCGTATTTTTCTGTATTTTCGTTTTTCTGTATTTTCAGTTTTCTGTCCAGATTTAATTTACTGTTTTACCTTGCTGTAATTTCGTTTTTACTGTAGCAATTTAATTTTTACTGTTTTAATTTCGTTTTACTGTTTTAATTTCATTTTTACAATTTTAATTTTTACGGTTTTGTTTTTATTGATGTTTTTACTTTTGTGTCAATGTTTAAGTTTTCTGTACGTTTAATTTTCCCGCGTTTATTTTATTTGAACTGTCTTTTACCCTTTAGAGTTTTTACCGTTTTGAATTTTACTTCACCATTTTTAATTTCCAGTTTTATTTAAGTTTTAATTGCAACCAAACAAAATCACAAAAACAAACCCCCCCACTTCGTGTTAAATCTAAGACTGAACCATAAATTGGTCCTTGAGAGACGACCTAGGAGTCACTTCCTAGTTAGACTATACTGCATAATTTTATCTGTACTCAATTTTGATGGGCCGCGACAGCTTTATCAAAAATGGCGCCGTTGTCGGGGACCAAAGGTTTGGTTTTGGGTCTTTTGTTGTTTTCTGTTATGTGAGTTTTTGTGTACATGTGATATGTGTTTTAGGTCTTTTGTTTTGTTAATGTTTTGTATTGTGTTGTGATGTTTTGTTCTGTTTTTGAATGCATGTCGTATGTGTTTTGTCTGTTAATTTTAAAAAAAAAATGTGTGTTGTGTTTTGTATTTAGCTGTTGTTTCTGAAATTTTAAAAAGAAAAAAAAAACTGTAATTGTTAGTTTTACTCCATGTTATGCTTTCGTATTTTTTTTTAATCTTTGCTTGAAGTGAAAGTCCAGGTTTGAGAGAGGTTTTGAACTAGACTAGAGGAGATGACAGATTCTCAAGACTGGATGTATGAGTTAGTCAAGAGTCTTCCCAAATTCCGTGGGTTGACACATGAAGATCCATACAGGCACCTCAAGGAGTTTTGTTTGGTGTGTTTATCTATGAGGCCTGCTGGTGTTTCAAAGGAGACAGTGTTGATAAAAATGTTTCCCATGTCCCTTCAAGATGAAGCAAGAGACTGGTTCATATACCAGTATCCTCTTAATAGTTGGCAGGAAACACAACAAAAATTCTTCGACAAGTTCTTTCCAGCAGCAAAGGTGACCAGCATTAGGACGAAGATCACTGCCATTGAGCAGTTTCAAGAAGAAAGCCTGGCATATTATTGGGAGAGGTTTAACAGGCTCTGCACAACTTGTCCAAACCACCAAATTCCAGAGCATTTGCTCTTGATTTATTTTTATGAAGGACTCCTGGACAGTGAAAGGATACTTGTGGATGCAGCTGCTGGTGGATGTTTGATGGATATAACCCCAACAGAAGCAAGGAAGTTGCTCTGCAAGCTAGCGGGTCAAAATCCAAGTGAGGTAGTAAAGGAAAAACCTGAGCAGGTTTACTGTAAACTTGAAATCCCTACTCATGTATCTGAGGTTCAAGTAAATTTTAATGCTTTTGAATTGGTAAAACTTGAACCATTTAAGCCTGTTCTGGATTCTGATATTAATACACATGTGCACACTCATGTTGTGGATTCATTATTCCCTGTAGAGCACATTGACATACCTGATGTTCACTATCCTTGCACTGACCTTGATTTAAATGATAGCCTTGAGGATGCAGCTGATGACTTGGAGTTTGGTAAGTGATGAGTCAATATTTTCTTCACTTCACTTAGTTTACTGTACTAAATTAATCAGGGGATTGTACTTAATTGTTCAGTATTTTCTCGTTTGTACTGATTGTGATTAATTTGATCAGAAATTCTTATTTTACTTAATTTGAATTATCTGAGAATAATTATTTACATTATTGAGTGTAGGGAAAATGCTGTAAATATTTTAGGACAATTGGAAGAAGTGTTATTTAAGCAAAATTTCAATTGGCATTATTACACCACACGGCTATACCAACCAGCCACACTAAGGGAACCTTCTTCCTTTGAGAAGTGAAGCATACGGCCATGGAGAATGTTTCTTTGGTTTTGGAAAAATGAGCTTCAATGCTACGTGTTTGCCATCCAACAATTAACAAGGAAAGGAAAATGGCCACATGGAAAGGGTAATGGCCTACTTGGAAGCATATCACGTAGGGACAAGCAAATTTTGTTGAGATGGTCCCCTCATAGCTTTTGGTACGTGTCAATTCTCTACAATTGCTAGTTTTTGCTTTTATCAAATTTCCAAGAGATACATGCTGGAAGAAAAACTCGGCCAACTCAATTTGGTAAGCATCTACCACACGGTTTGAAATAATGGAAGGGGCCACACTTGAAAGTCACGACGGACATACCACCTTGGCCATTGTTTGTTCACGTGAAAGCCTAGCTACAGAGAATGGATTGAAGAAAGTGAAGAAGTATCTGACATAGCCAATTGACATTTTCTCATTTTCTGGTGGCATCGGATAGAAAAAACACAGAGACCAAACATAGAGAATTTTTCCAGAGAGAACGTACAGAGCATGACTACCAGCATGGATTGAGAAGGAAGGAAGCTTCTGTGTTGATTGTTGAATACATTGGAGTTACATACTGAAGGAGGCACACAGCCAAACCAGTCAACACTTGTTTATTTCTTTTTACTTTGAATGTTTCTCTTTGAGAAGACTGAACATCGTTTTGTTTTCATGATGAATAAATAGCTTGTATTTATTCCTTTTGTTGAATTCTAATTGCATCTTCCATTTGGTTTTCTGCACATTTATACAATCTTTTCTAGCATTCGGTAACTTCTGAAAAGAGGTACATGATCTTGTGTTGAACCACTGGAACACGTTCATTCACTTCATTTTAGAAGCATAGTAGCATGTGTAGAGTTGATTCACCTTTCAATTATGAAACTGCCATTTAAAGAAAAACACAAAAATAAAATTGTTGATTTGGAGGAAGGAGCTCACGGTTTAGAGAAGAAATGAACCAAGTGCAACCTTGTGGATGTTGATTAATTTCTGCTGGATTGAAGAGTAAACTACACACGCTTATTTGTTTGCCAAAGATAAGCTCACGTAGAGAGGAAGAGAAGGATTTGTTACAAAGAGGAGAAGTAATCCTTGATGAGAATCGAACATATTTGAAGGAGGGAAGGAGAGTGCAGCTGGAATGAAGGCAGCAAAAGTGGACGGCTAGCATCTTGAATTTGGGCGTTGATTTGTTGCAGCAGCAAGGGTGAGAATATTAGTCAATTAGCTTGGAGAAAGTAAGTGAAGAAGTGGATGAATGTGGAGGAGGAGTTCTCGGTTAACACAGCAAAAATTTGTGTGAATTCTTTCTTTAAAGAAGTAGCTTGAAGAGATGCAGCCTTGGTCCACCAACACATGACTTTCTCGGAAAAATTGGTCCATGTAGTAGTAATATATCATGCTTTCACTTTATTTTGTTTGTGTGCACGGTGATGAGGTTCTGAATTCAGCAAATACTCATTTCATTTTGGCTTAAGAAAGTGTTGTGGACCTACTTGTTTTTATTTTCCAATCAACATGCTTTGTTATCCTTACCTTTGTTTTAGATAATGCCGTGACTTTGTGTGCATACAGCAGCTTCCTTGCACCTTTCCATTTTGTTTTTGTTTTGTTTAAAATGAAGAGAAACGTGAATCCATCATGCAGCACCTAGTTTGGTTTGTTAGATTATTATTCTTATTATTATAAGAAGAATTGATTGATTTTAGATGGAAAGCAAGGTGGTGGAGCCGTGAGGAGTGCTTGTTTTCACGTGAAGAAGAAGAAAAAGGCTTTTCATTTTGGACCATTTTACAATTTTGGAGAAAGGCTTGGAGTAAAGCCGTGTGAAGAGTTTGCAGAGGTGAAAGTGGCCCACGGTTTTGTTGGCATCTTTGTATTCATTTGATAATGGCCAACTAGTTGTTTGCATGGTGTGAATCTGAATTCAGCAACTACAAATTTATTTTGCTTTGAATAAAGTGGTAGGGTCCTATTTGTTTTCATTTTCCAAATGCTTTGTTATGCTTGCCTTTCTCTTATGAAATACCGTGTTGTTGTTATGTCCATGTAGCAGCCCCTTTTACATCTTTTAACTTTGTTTTGTTATTAATTTAAAGAGAAACGTAAATTGATACTAGGTGCAGCACCGGTTTTTGGCTTCATAAAATAGAATTGTTATTATTATAGTGAGTTTTAGGAAGAGCAACCACGGACGTTTTGATTTTGAGTGTTTATTTTTCCTCCTCCCCTGTTTGGGAGCTTTGGGTTTTATGTGTGTTTCGGTGGATACTTTTAGGGACCGAGAGACTAACCTGCTGACGCGTCTGGGCCGCTCGCTCGCTTCCAAACTCCTCCTGTTGTCCGATCGGTGTTGGCGCAAACCGATCGGTCTCGCTCTTGACGAGGGGGATGTACCTGCAAAAGGTACTCCGACGCCCAAGTTAGGCGTGTGATTTGAAGAGCCTCGGCTCTTGGTTGAATATTTAGTGAATGGTTATCACTATTGAGTATTTGAGAGTCATGTAGAGTAAGTGGAACGTACCTGGCTTTTGGCCCTGGCTTTGTATTAATAATTTACCTCATGTATCCTAAGCTGATATAAGCCCAATAAAATATAAACAGAATAAGATATAAACAGATTACCTGAACATCCGGTTGGTTGTTTGTAACCACTCGGTTAATATTTTATACTATACATTATGCCCCCCAAGTCCGAGTTAAGCGGTTGGCTTTAGCCGTGGTTAACTATAGGACTGATGTGTTTGAGGGAGGCTGCGTTGGCGGAACTGAAAGCGTTTTACCGCTCGACCTTCAACAATAACCGAGAGGGATTTACCGCTCGTCCTTCAACAGGAACCGAGAGGAATTTACCGCTCGGTCTTCTACATTAACCGAGAGCGCTTTACCTCTCGACCTTTGACATTAACCGAGCGGGATTTACCGCTCGTCCTTCAACAGGAACCGAGAGGAATTTA